TATATATATAAAGAGGTTGGAAGTAATGAACAAAATATAGTCTGGAAAAAGAAACACTAAAACTGATTCAAGAATTCACAAGCTCTACATTTATTGAGAGAGGATATAAAAAATTGAAGGCAATACCCCACGAAAACCAATGAACGCTGACGAAAAAAAAACCAAACTGAAGCATTAGTTTCAGCTTATAATAGCTCGAAAATGTAAAACTAACAGCGAAATAACAAGATTGAAAAATATTGGTATTTCAACAAATGTTATAACATGCAATTACACTTACTTTCTCCACACTTTGTTATTAGTTTGTTAATCTGGGTTAATTTGTTAAATCGTTAAATTCATTCTCAGTTGTTGAATAGAATGGAATTTCAAATTTATTGGTTTAACCGTCATCTAAAAAAAAGAACAAGAAAAAGAAAGTGATTCTCAAAATCCTGGTGCTATTTTCAGTATCTAAACATCCCCATTAAATAGCAAAAAAGATATTTTTCATTAATAAGTTTGTATATTTCTTGATAGCAACATCAAGTCAGTGAAGTGAACATTCCTAAAAAAAGCACATTTATTTGAACAAATTTGGAAGGTAATTTTATTAAAAAAAAACTCACACCAGTTGTTTGTTTTTTAAATTAAACAAAAAACGAAGGTGAAACATGACATAACTTCAGCAACTAAATCAATAGTAACAACTCAATATATATTAATACAAACATTAAATGGAAGGCATGCACAATGATTATGCACTGTTACAAGCTTCACTTTCACAAGCTTCACTTTCAACCTCATGGAATTCAACTCACTTTCTGTGTCCATTTGAAGTTTGCGTACCAATTTAAAAGTTTCTCAAAAACGCGTGATATTTCAAAGTTATGTGATTCAACTCATTTTTCTAAACAATTTGATTTTTTCAAGAAATAAATGGCGCTTCATTCATATATATATTTGTTAATATAAAATATATATGTTAATATGGAATACAGTATATAAATAAATGCATAATTGAAACCTCAATTAGAAGTCAGACAAACCTCAGACCTATGCACGAAAGGCATCTTAGAAGTTTATTTCGACTGCTTTCTTATTCAGTGCCTTCTAATTCGGTTTCCTTCTCGTTGGAACTCGTCCAACAAACCCACTATCTCCTGCGGGGCTCCAACCTGAAAACCACATGCAACACGCAAATCACGTAATTTTGGGCAGAAATTAACAACACAAAAATAAAACAAAAATTAACAAAAATCCGCACACATCCCAAAAAAGCAAACAATCTCAAAATTACAGCAATTATTAACCTAAAAACTCCAAAGACAAAAAATGAAAATTGAAAAACTCTTGGGCAATCAACGTAGGCAGTGAACAAACAACAACAGAGCGAGCGGACACGAGAGGTGAAAGGATAAGCAAACCTAACCAAAAATATCACACATCTAGTCAAAATCAAATGGAAAATGAAGAAATGTAGCCAAAAGATCAGCTGACACAGAATAAAAAAAGGAAATAAAAGAAAATTAAAGATTACGAATTACTTAACTCACAATTCATGTTTCTAATGAGCTTGAGGTCATCTTCAGGTTCCTCAATCAACTCTTCAACCTGTCCAGATCCAAGCCTTTTCCGCAGAGGGTCTACGGCTGAATACAAACAAGCAATGCCCATGTTACACTCCTCAACTACAAACAAAGAAACATACATAATCATTGACACACTATAATATCTAAAATTTGCCTAAAAATCAAAAATCAAGAAAAGATGTAACATTTGAACAAATATCAGACATCAAGGAATCATTGAAATGTGGATTGCCCTAAAAATTTGAAATTTTCACCGAAAAAAACACCTGAAAATGAGGTAACAGAGAAGGGATAAAACAAGAAAAGTTCTTCAAGAGGAAAATATCGTCTTCGTCCAGAGAATTAGGGTTCTTCTGAGCGGCCGAAACCTGAAAAAAAATAATAATTAACCATTGGCTCAGAAAATCACCAACTCCGAAATCAAAAGCCCCAAGTATCATCTCGACAAACCTCGCGGCTCGCAGACAAATACGGCCTGTGAAAGTCACCCAGATCGAAGGAACTATCCTTCATCATTCTCTCCACGTCCGCCTCCTTCAAGACGGTCAACTTGATTTGGGGTTGGTTGCGTCGTTTATCTTGGGAAAAATACTTGATGTCCTATGAAATTGCAGGACAAAAACTGAGATTCAACCATGGAGCCCAATTCTCGCATAGTCTTTAGCTTCCACACACACACACAAAAAAAAAAACATTGGAAATTGAACTCCAATTCATAATTATAAATTTTTAAAAACAATTATGCAAGAACTGAACAAATAAAAACAAAACATAATTGAATTAACACGTGAATACTAACCTCACATGAAGATCTTATCAGTGACGCTAAAAAACGCGCACCAGAGCAGCAATGTCCATAGAAAGGACGAACATTGTTTCTTGCCGATGAATCTCTCCTGCAAACTTGGCGTGTAGCTCAACTTACCGCTAGTGCCCTTTTCTGACACCGAAATCACCTTCAATACATACATTATTTTATGCAGACTAAAACTTAAAAGACTGGGGAATCTCCACACATTGATGTACAACTAAGCAATGGCGATCTTCTGCTCGAAATATTAAGCCCTCAACTCCCATCACTACATCCATTACCAAACCATAAACAAGACATTAGAATAATCCAACAAAATTCCGAAGCACTCCTGCTTCTACTGTCATTACATGAGGTGTAAAACCAACTAATGGAACTCCTGGCCACCAGAAAATATCATTTAAAAAGCAACCCAAAAAGTGATAGCAATGAAGTATATATATGTAGGAAGGGGTTTTTACACACACATACATGTACAACTAAGAAAGCAAAACATAACCCTGATTCAAGAAAATAAAATGGCAAACCAACATAAAAGAAACAATTAAAGAAATTCACCCTGCTTTCACGGGCTTGTTTGAGGAATCTCATGACCAGCTCGATGGTGTTGGGGCGTATCTCATCGCCGGGTCGGTAGAAAATGCGTTCACTTACGTCACATATCTTCTATTCCAAGAAAAACTTTCGCTGGAAGGGTAATAAAATCAGAAAAGGAAAAAAAATAGATAAAAGTGCTTTACCTTCAACCCCGAGCTGCGAAAGCTGAAAAAAAAAGGTCGAAAGCTTTTGAGTCGAAAGCTTCTAAAATTTGAATCGTAGAAAACCTCGGCGAATTGATTATCCTGATCTTCGAATTGTTGGGTGAGATTCTTCCTTTTGGCTCGCAGCGCCTCTGGTCGGCACGGCTGCTGACGGGTCACGACGATTTCTTTTTTTTTTCTCAGCTTCTTTTTCTCCAGTTAGGGTTTGGTGAGAGGAGAGAGGGGAGAATTGGGCAGATGTTTGCCCAGCCGTTCAATTGCAATGCCGGTGGAGGACACTTGCGGTTGCGGGTGCTCGCCGAAGCGAATGAGGAGACGATCTATTTGTGGGTTGTCGCCATTGATGAATGGGTGATGATTTGGGTGGATAAGAGGACGATGGACGGTGGATGGAGATAAAATAATCCACTTGCGTGTTAACCTTGGTGAGAAGCAGATTTTGACTGAAGAGAGAATGGGAAATGAAGAGAAAGAGAGGACGTACGAAAGCCATTTTTTCGGGCTGCTTTTTGACTACTGAGGAAACGTGCCCATAAATTATGGAAGAAAGTGGTAAAAAGAATGGTATTGCAGGTTGAAGAGCAGTCTAGTAATTTCAAGGCCAAAGCAATGGCATCACCTGTAAAAATAGCTGAAAATGGAGGACAATTATGCTTGAACAAGTTGGACACGTGTCACGCCCTAAACCTCTTATATTTTTGCTTATATGTAAGGAGGAGATATATATATGCAAAATCTGTAATATTTTGTAGCAAATAATTTATTAGTCCACAATGTCTTTAAATTTCGATATACTAAATTTTTAAATTTTTAATAGTGGGAGTAATTGATATATCATTATTTAAATTATATTAATATATTAAATAAAGTGATTAGTATGTAATATCTTAGTTAGTGGAAATAAAATGATTTACGAATTGAAATTTAAAATTAAAATTGAAATCTAAGGAAGACGAATTTGATTAAATAAATCCACTCAGTTATAATAAGTTATGATGATTTGTTATCTACTTAATTATAAAATGTTAATAGTGAGAATAACTGATATCTCATCATTTAGAGATAATTTAAAATATTTATTTAATTATATACACGGCTTTATTTTGTAAGATATCTATACACAATTAAAACGTAAATAACGTTTTTTAAGCATGAATTCATAAGAAAAAAAAAAAAAAACAAAATAAATTCAGTAAATTGAAATTGTAAATTATTAAAATTTCACCATAATGATCAATCACAAAACACAAATAAGATGTTGCACGAAACATAATAGAAATAATAATTTTCAGCGACATGGAATAATAATAAAATTCATAATGGAAATCGGAATTCTTATCAAACCCTAATATATTCTATATCTTCTCCATTACGCTTTTAAATTCAAAATATAAATATACAGTTTGCGCATATAAGATGCTAATATTACCTGTGAATATGTTTTCATCACCATATTTCTTGATACGTTTATTGCCTGCATTTTTTGTTGCCATTGGACATCTGAATTCATCCGAAGACATTGAATAGCGTATGCTATGATAGCAAAATTTGGGGATCTTATGTGTAGTATTTCCACTCACTGCGTGAAAAGAAAGATTATTAGTAATTATATTTAAATAGTTCATAGAAGGAGAAGGTTGTTAGTACTCAGGTGGATGAATTCTTCTGAATACCTTGTCGTAAGAACTAATGAGAATTTTCTTTAAAAGCCAGTTATTATACACGGTTTTATACAGCCCTCAATATGTTTTAGAAAGAATATAGGAAATTAAAAGATGGTCTAAATATCAACTATAAGGCTTTGTTTGGGAGCACTTGTTTTACAAAAGTCCATCTGAAAAATGGGCTTTCATTAAGTACATTTACAAATGTCCTTACACAATTTTCAAATATGTTTGGTGAATCTCATTTTAAATAAGTGCTTTCGTTACTTAAATAATAATATTGGGAAGTAATTGTGAAATAGGTTTGAGAAGTAGCTAATTCCCACTTGTCCAAAATGGACTTATTGGGAAGTGACTTTTTTCAAAAGTGCATTCAATATAAATCACCAAACACACTGAAATCATTCAGATGGACTTTTAAGTCTAGAAGCTCATTTCAAAAGTGTTTCCAAACACACACTAAATCAGAGGCTATTTAGTTTCCCATTTGAATAGGTCTCTAAATAATAGGGAATGGAGTTATTGGATTGATACGATTTGTTTCCTTTCAAAAACACGTGTTAAAAATATTCAGCATATAAAATAGATAATTACTTATCTATACATATCTCGTGTATTCTTGAGGGATATATCTAGTCTATCTATTAAAAAAAAATATTGTACACGCAATTCTACACTATTTTTAATAGAGTTTGTAAAAATAGATATAGCATATATAACTTACTTATCGTGAACACTGAACAGAGATATTTCTATGCAATGTTTTGAATTGCGTGTATTCTGTTATGAATTAAGGCACATGTGTTTATCCCATACATAGATTATCTCAAAAAATGCTCAAAAAATGTCGAGCATTTTTAATAATTATCCCATACAGTATTCTGTTATGGATTAATAGCCGTCAATGTGTAAATTTCTGAACGAAATTGTGTGAAAGGCATAATATTTATTAAATAAGTAACAATTTAGATTTGAAAATATACAATAATAAGACATTTAAATATTAATCCGTATCAATTTCCTTGCATATCTCTGTGTATAACCGAATGATAAGTTTTGATTGAATCCTTAATAGATAAATATTTACATATTAATTGTTTTCTAAAAATTTGCATTATGATTGATCTAAAAAAAACAATGGCATAATTTCAAAATTGGTCCTATAATTTGGCTACTTTTCAAAAAACCACCCTGATATTGACCACTTTCAAACTTGGTCCTATAATTTGATATTTTAATCAAATTTGGTCCCTTTTATCCAGAACATGGATTAAAATGTGATTGAAAAAGGACCAAAATGCCAAATTATAGGATCAAAATTGATTACAAAAGGACCAAATTTGATTAAAATGTCAAATTATACGACCAGGTTTGAAAGTGGTCAATATCGGGGTGGTTTTCTGGAAAGTGGCCAAATTATAGGACCAATTTTGAAATTATGCCAAAAAACAATTATCATCATCAATAATGTTAATAATGTTAACAGAAGAGAAAAAAAAAAGGAATTGGATATGAAACATCTTTACATTGTTTTGAAATATAAAAGGAATAAGAAATCGAGGCTAACCTCCTTGGGCAGTGTGCCCTCAGAGGTGACCTTGCCCTTGCCCTTTTGCCCCTTCGGATTGGGGCTGTGAGCCGGGGTCTTGCCCTTCGCCTTAGGGCTCAAAGGAGCGATAGTAGATCCCTGTCTCGCTACACGTCGACGGGGTGGCAGAGCAGGTCGGGGCTTGTTGCCCTTAGTATAGCATTCTGCAGCCCCATGTCCTACGTGACTGCATAGAGCACAGAACGGTGGTACTCTCTCGTAGACCACTTTCTGGATAGTGGTCTTGCCCGCTTGGTCGAGCTCAATCTCTTTGATGAGCTCGTCTCTAAGGTCAACCTCTACGCACACCCGTGCGACAGATAACCTCGAGCGGTTAGCCGTAGCGGCATCAGACTTAATGGGGTTGCCAATGCAACTGCCAATCGAAAAGAGGGCAGAGGGGTCGAAAAGGTGTGGTAAAAGGCCCAGAAAGCAGCACCACACCGGGACTATGGGAGATTCCTCAACAAAGGAGAAATCCAGGGTGTATTTAAACACCCGACCAGCACATCCAAAGATATTGAGATGCGTCTTAATCCAAACCGAGTTGTAGTCCTCTTTCAACTCAAAATAAAGTAAATAATGGTTAAAGTTCAGGAACTTAGGGGTCACTCTACCCTTGAAACCCAGTTTGACCAAACCGACAGATAAATCCCGGAGGGAAGGGACACTGAAGGAGAACTTCAAAATGAGAGCATTATCAAACGGCTCAGCTAGGGAAATAACAGTGGGCTCGAGAAAACTTACCTTGAACCTGCCCTCCTCGGAGCGAGTGACTGTCCCACTTTGTTTGTCTCGGAAGGATTCCAAATGCAGTCTATGTTGTCCCGGGTTGGGAGGGGAGGGGCCCGATACCGCGTCCCGAAATGAGCGTGCTCCGGGAGGTCGCGGCCCTTTGCTCGCCGGTTGGGGAGGAGGATTGGTGATGTTCGGGCCATGGGGGTGGCTGCCACTATGTTGGAGCTCGCTGGGATCTTCCGGTGTGGGGGCGACTGTCGGGTGGGGCCCGCTACCAAACAGCCCGGACATTAGAGGTTGGTCGGCCAATG